TTTTAATCCAGGGAAAAGACATACCCTTATGTTTTATAAAGGGGGATATACCCTTATGTTTTCTAAATGGAGATTATTCCCCCCTTATGTTTTAATACAGGGGATATATCCCCCTTTGTTTATAAGGGTTTAATACCATTATGTATTTACATGGGATCATTCCCCCTTATGAATTAAAAAAAAAATGGAGATAACCCCTTTGTATTTTTACATGGGATTTTACCCCCTTTTTGCTTAAATGGGGTTCCTTCCTTTTGGGATTATCCAGGAGTAAATATCCCCATGTTTTTAAAAGGGGGAAATTCATACCCCCTTTATGTTTTTATAATGGAGATAATATCCCCTTATTTTTATAATGGGTATCATAAAACCCCTTTTTTATTTCAGGGAGTTCAAAAAAATAACTATGATAAATATAGTTTATAGAAACTAATATACAATGATAAAAGAACAAAATAAAGAAAAAAATAATTAAAATGGAGAAAAGAAAAAAAAAAGAAAAAAAACAGAAGATAAAAAGAAAAGACAAAAAACAAAGAAAAAAAAAAGAGAATAAAATTCCATAACCAAAAACACACAAAAAATAGAACAAAAAATAATGCAATGATAAAGAAACACAAAGAAAAAGACCTAAAAAATATTTATAAAGATAAAAAACAGAAATAAATATAGAAAAAAGTAAAAAAAAAAAAAAAAAAGACAAGAAATACCAAAAAAAAAAGGAAAAAAAAAAGAAATAGAAAAAAAAATAAAAGAAAAAAAACAATAACGAAAGTAAAAAAAAAAAAAAACAATGTAACCAATGAAAACGAACACGAACAAAAATACAAAAAAAAAAAAAAAAAAATGAAGAAGAGGCAGAACAAAAAACAAAAAAAAATGGAAGAATAACAAAATATAGAAAGCGAAAAAAAAGAAATCAAAAAGGAAACAAAACAGAAAAAGTATACGAACAAGTAAAAACTATTTTCTTATTTTGTTAAAAAAAAAAAGCAACATATTATACATTTTGAATATGAAAAGACTGATTTTTTGTCTGTAGTAGTATAGAGAACGAAAATTTTTTTTCTCTTTGTCTCGTTTCCTATTTTTTATGACTGTATTGTTAAGCCTTTTGTATTGTTTTTAAGAATTTCTTTAGAAAGCGAAAAAAAAAAACATATGAATACGAAGAAAATTTCTGCTATTGTGATGATATTAGTTTTTGTTGGAGATCAAATACCCCCTTATCTTATTTTTTAACCAAAAATGTTGATCATAGTTCTACACCTTTTGTATTTATTCATGGAGATCACACTATACCACTCCATTAATGGATTTAAAAGTAAAGTATCATAAAATCTGTTTGTGTGTATAGTATTATAGCATGGAGAGCGTAATTTCACATTAGGAGGAGATTATACATTTAGAAGTAAACTTTATCCCCCCTGTAATGCCTATTATAATAATGACTGAGCAATATCAGACACACCCTTATGATATTATATTACATGGAGTATCATGATCCCCTTAGTATCAATTTATACATTGGAGATCATATCCACCCACAAAATGTATTATACTTGAGGATAATAATAACCCACCATTATGATATCTTCCTAATTAAGGAAGAACTTAGATATCCAACCCTGTTTGCTAACTAAACAAGGTGTCGTAAAAAAACAACACATTTGCGATTTGTGGGATTTGGGTGGGTGGGTTTCATTGTCCCACCCCGTGGATGTCTTTGGATAACATAAAAAGAACAAATATCAGGCAAATTAAAAAGTATTGTAAAAAACTTGGAAATCATATCCCCAACTTTATGTATTCTTTCATCAAGTTAAGTAACATAATATACCCACCTTTATGACATCTTAGTGCTAATTAAAGTGTGCATTAGTCATTTATCCCCCTTTTGTAGTATGTATGCATGGAGATCAAATTAAACAAAAAATTTGATATTATTCTCATTTTGATATATCCCCCCTTATTGATCTTGTAAAGGAATGATCATTGTTTGAACAACCCTAAGTTAATATTCTGTATTAAATAAATTGAAAAAAATGATATCCAAACGAATAAGTATTATACATGGAGATTCTTATCACCATTATGTATTTTAAAAAAAAATATCATGGGGGGCAATGTTCACCATCATACCTTTATTCACGTTTTATACTTGGATATCTGACTTATCCCCCCTTATTTTTATACATAAAAAAGAATATCCCCCCTTATTATTATACATGTGACAAAATCCCCCTTATTAAATTTTAAAAGTGAAGATTCTATCTCCCTCCGTATGTATTATAAATTAAGAGATAATATCACACCCTTGTTAGTCAGTGGATTAAACATGGAGATCGATAACCCCCTTATGTATTATACATGGTGATCTATATCCCCAACTTACAACATGTAATTATATCATGGGAGATTTTCTATATCCACCCCCCCCCCTATAGAAAAAAATATAACATGAGATCAATACATATATTATGTATTTATGATGGAATCAGAACAAAACACCCCTTATAGTATTATACAAAAAAGAGATCATATCCCCCCCCCCCCTTATGTTTTTTCAATGGAGATCCAATTTCCCCCCTAATGTATTTATTCATGATTTCAATCCACCCCCTTATGTATGTATATTCGATGAGATCCATATGCCCTCTCTTTGTATTTATTTTGAGATTTTTAATATCCCCCTCAATAACTTTTTGATACCATAATATATCCCCCCTTATGTATTATAGTGATATGAATAATTATGTGTACATATCCAAAATTAAAATTATTATACATGTTCGATCATATCCACCCCTGAACTATGTATTAAAACATTGTAGCATATACTCACCTTAATGTATTATACATGGAAAGCAGATATCCGCCAATTATGGGTTATTCTTGGATCACATATCCCACCCTCATTAACATTATTTCAATGACGATCAATATTCCCATTGTATGCTTATGTATTTATACAATGAATCATGTCCCGCCTTAGTATTATACATGGAGATTCATATCCCCCCCTTAAAAGTATTGTTACTGTGGAATTTCATATGCCCCCTTATTATTATACATGGAAGATCATATCCCATTATGTATTTATACATGGAGATCATAATCCCCATATGTATTATTCATGGAGATCATAATCCCCCCTTTATGTATTATACATGGAGATCATATCCCCTTATGTATTATACATGGAGATCATATCCCCCCTTATGTATTATACATGGAGATCATATCCCCCCTTATGTATTATTACATGGAGATCATATCCCCCTTATGTATTATAACATGGAGATCATAGCCCCCTTATGTATTATACATGGAGATCCCCCCTTATGTATTATACATGTAGGAGATCATATCCCCCCTTATGTATTATACATGGAGATCATATCTACCCTTATGTATTATACATGGAGATCATATCCCCCCTTATGTATTATACATGGAGATCATACCCCCCCCTTATGTATTATACATGGAGATCATATATCTCCCCCTTATGTATTATACATGGAGATTCATATCCCCCCTTATGTATTATACATGGAGATCATATCCCCCCTTATGTATTATACATGGAGATCATATCCCCCTTATGTATTATACATGGTGATCATATCCCCTTATGTATTATACATGGAGATCATATCCCCCATTATGTATTATACATGGTGATCATTATCCCCCCTTATGTATTATACATGGAGATCATATCTCCCCTTATGTATTATACATGGAGATCATATCCCCCCTTATGTATTATACATGGAGATCATATCCCCCTTTATGTATTATACATGGAGATCATATCTCCCCTTATGTATTATACATGGAGATCATATCCCCCTTTTGTATTATACATGGAGATCATATCCCCCCTTATGTATTATACATGGAGATCATATCCCCCTCCCCCCCCCCCCCCCCCCCCCCCCCCCCCCCCCCCCCCCCCCCCCCCCCCCCCCCCCCCCCCCCCCCCCCCCCCCCCCCCCCCCCCCCCCCCCCGAGTGTCCCCCCCCCCCCCCCCCACAGTAGTCTGTCACCACATCCTGCACCTCTCTCTATACAGGGATAAAAATATCTCATGTAAATCTGTCCGATGACGAGGTGACAAAAAGGAAAACAATTACTGAAAATGACATGTCTAGAGGCGTCACCTGTGGTCTGCATAGAACAATGACCCCTCCATGTGTCCGTCACAGGAGGTCGCCCAGCTACCTGGGTCATAGAACCGACCATTAGAGAAGATGAAAGATGACGCTAAAGAAGTTTCTGCACTGAAGGAAAGTTATCGGGTTCAAGCAGCTGTATGCAGGTTTGTGCTCCTATGGGTGCGTCCAACACTGGATCAGACGACATTGCGCTCAGTCCTCCTTCCTGTCCACAGAATACAGAACCGGGATTGTAAATTCTGTTGGTTGAGGAGCAACGACTTTACTAATGCTGAAAGGGCATCATTAAAAAAATGCACAATTTCTTTATAGGACATGCCTGGGAGGTGCCCTGGCCCTGCCTGTGAAGTGGGGCATCTGGACAATGTACAACCTACTACAGCAAAAGAAAAAAATGGCGGCCAAATGACAGTTCCCAGTCGTAAAGAAAGCAGTCAGAGGTTCCCTTCATCTACACCACACCGTTCTCCTGGATGAGGGTCTGCTATAGATAATAATGGGGGATACACACAAAAAATGGCCAAGTAATAAGGGGAACCCCATGCAAAAAAATAATTAAAAAATGGCCTGGGGTTCCCCATCTTCCATGCAAGGTTCTTTGGATCTGGTATAGATTTAAGAGTGCCCCCCCCCCCAAATAAAATCAAGAATTTGGGTTCCCAAATGAAGGGTTCCATAAAAATCCATATCATGCCTTTATTCAAGTATACAGCCTGGATGGCCTGGAAAGGCAAGTATGCAGCCCACCTGCTGCACCACACCAGGACACATGCCCCCAACATGGGGGGATATCTCACCAAGGAGAGTGGGTCCCTTGGAAAGCACACCGTGTCCCCATGTTGATGAGCACACAGGGCCTCTTCCCCATAACCCTGGCCAGGTAGCATATTTGGCCAATGATGTCACTGGGATGACATCACTGGAGAACATGAATAATGATGGACGTACCCCATAGGCAGGGGCGGACTGACAACTCATGGGGCCCCCGGGCAATAGGGGACCATGGGGCCCCTGTGTCCTAGCCCACACTCAAACCACACCCAAAAAAGCCTATGAAAGGTACCGGGGCATCTCATGGGGCCCCCTACTGACCCCGGGCCCTCGGGCAGTGCCCGAGTTCCCAAATGGTCAGTCCGCCCCTGCCCGCAGGACATTTCTTTTTTTTTCATTAAAGGATTCGTCAAAAAACATGTGTTTTTATAGTTTGCATTTTTCTTTTGTGAATTGTGAGCAGGGGTACTAGGTATTCCTTACTCTTTCATATGGGGCAAAGATAGTCTCTGGGGGCCACAGATTGTGTACGGTCCCCCCCCTTAAATCCATAATCCAGATTTGAAGGGTCTGGTATGGAATTTGGAAAGGACCCCATGCCATTTCATTTTGTCTTTTTGAGTGACCTGAAAGGCCACCTGGTAAGAGTTACAGAGGAACCCCAATGTCATTTTTTGTGTGACCCGAAGGGCCTGCTATGAATTGTGGAGGAACCCCCATGCCGTTTTTGTGTGTGACTTGAAGGACCTTGTATGAATTATGGGGGAAACCCCACGCTGCTCCTTTGCCTATGTTGCCTGGGATTCCTGGCCATGTATGTTAATGTAGCCAAGCAATAACATGTAAATGTTCAGGCGTTCATTGGAACACCCAAACAGCCAAGGTTCAGTTCCGAATCTGTGTTCGGACCAAGCTTTGGGGTCATTCCTATTGATGGCTTACACAATGTTCCCGACATTCTCACTCCATGGCCGAGGAGCCATTGTTATGATGGTTTTCACTCTATCCCTGAGGGTTCATTGTTATGATGGTTTTCACTCTATCCCTGAGGGCTCATTGTTATGATGGTTTTCACTCTATCCCCGAGGGCTCATTGTTATGGTTTCCACCCTTGAGAGGTCACTGTCATGGTGTTTCACCGCCACCCTTGAGGGGTCACTATCATATCATAGTGGCTTTCAATCCACCCTCCAATGATTCACTGTTATGGTGGCTTGACCTTCAACCTTGAGGAGTCATTGTCATAGTGGCTTTCATTTCACCTTTGAGGGGGTCATTGTTATGGTGGCTTTCATTTCACCCTTTAAGGGTCATTGTTAAGGTAGCCCTCACATCACTCTTTAGGGGACATTGTTAAGGTGGCTCTCTCTCCACCCTTGAGGGGTTATTGTTGTGGTGGCTCTCACTCCACCCTTGAGGGGTCATTTTTATGGTGTCTCTCACTTCACCCTTGATGGGTCATTGTCATAGTGGCTTTCATTTCACCTTTGAGGGGTCATTGTTAAGGTAGCCCTCACTCCACCCTTGAGTGGTCATTGTTATGTGGCTTTCATTTCACCTTCGAGGGGTCATTGTTAAGGTAACCCTCACATCACCCTTGAGGGGACATTGTTAACGTGGCTCTCTCTCCACCCTTGAGGGGTTATTGTTATGGTGGCCCTCTACTCTTGAAGGGTCATTGTTAAGGTGGCCTTCACTCAACCCTTGAGAGGTCATTGTTATAGTGGCTCTCCCGCCACACCTCCGGGGTCAATGTAATGGCGACTACCCACTAACCTTCTCCATTTAGCAATTCTACCAACATGAAAATTTTTTGCCAGTCTCCCAGGGTGAGTGGACATTGAAGGGGATTGAGTCTGAAGCAGCACCAGACGGGTTAATGCTGTAAAACTAGAGACCAGAAATGAAAAAAGTGGAGTTTTTGAGAAAGTTCATTCCTGTTTGCTATATTAAAAATACAACCGCATTTCTGTTCTCCGTTTTTTATTTCCAGATCGAATCCCAACTCTGAATCTTCGTGTTACAAATACTGTCCGTGTTAATTCACTTTTTTATGACGTGTCACTCCTTATTTTTTACAGTAAGCAAAATGTTATAACTCAGATGGAGCTGAGGAGAGAGGGTAGTAACATGCTGGATGCTTTGTGCAGTCACTCTGACCATTTGGGAACTCAGGCACTGCCCAAGGGCCCGGGGTCAGTAGGGGGCCCCATGAGATGCCCCTGGTACCTTTCATAGGCTTTTTTTGGTGTGTGTGGTGGGAGTGGTGAGGACACAGGGGCCCCATGATCCCCTATTGCCCATGGGTGTCTGGTGTGCACCATTTATGCCATCAGTCGTTGGACTTGCCAGGCTTTGCCGATGGTGCTAAACCTACTCTTTGAGTTGTGTCACTTTTGCCTCTTTTATCTGTTGAGTGAAAAATATTTCATTACCGCAAGTCTTTTCTCCATTTGCTTGAGTCTGTTTGACGTGAAAATGTTGGGGATACATTTGCTCCTCTTCATTGTCTTTGGAGTTCTTATGAAAAATTCTGCCAGGAGATGATTTGACGGTGCTCGGCCTTTGTGGGGGGTGTCATCCTGAGAGCTGAGGGTCGTTGACACTCTCGTTCCGAATACCACAGTGCTGTAATTGTTTTTTCTTTGCACTTCTTTCACTACTTTTGTTGGCAGTGTGTTATGCTTGTGTAGGGATGTGTGTTCCCTATCAGACGTGCCATGCTTGTGTAGGGATGTGTTCCCTATCAGACGTGCCATGCTTGTGTAGGGATGTGTTCCCTATCGGACGTGCCATGCTTGTGTAGGGATGTGTTCCCTATCGGACGTGCCATGCTTGTGTAGGGATGTGTTCCCTATCGACGTGCCATGCTTGTGTAGGGATGTGTTCCCTATCAGACGTGCCATGCTTGTGTAGGGATGTGTTCCCTATCGGACGTGCCATGCTTGTGTAGGGATGTGTTCCCTATCGGACGTGCCATGCTTGTGTAGGGATGTGTTCCCTATCGGACGTGCCATGCTTGTGTAGGGATGTGTCCCCTATCGGACGTGCCATGCTTGTGTAGGGATGTGTTCCCTATCGCCATGTTTTGTTTTGCTTTCACTTTTTTAGGTTACCTTTGCACAAATTTGCGCTCAATTATTATCTGTACCAAATCGCCTGCCAGTCACTCTGCTATGGAGACTCCAGAGTCCTATATAAAGGTATGTGTATCACTACCTCCCTCAGGGCTGCTGGATTTGGTAGGGTCCCCCTATGCTCTGCGTGGCCATCCAACATGCATTTTCACACTTTGCATACTGGAGTCAATGAACAGTCCTTGAGCTGGTTTTGTGGTTTTTATAAGGGGTTAAAAATTGGATGGGGTCTAGGGGTATATAGGATGCCTGAGGAACTTTAGGACTTGAGGACAACTCCTTGGCAACTCTGTACAAAGATTCAGTTAGCAACAGTCTCTTCTTGAAGAGCACTAAAGGCTCTTAAGTGTACCCCCTCAGACCTTGGATGATTCCTCCTCTTCACCCAACTGCCTGAGGGTATCCATGAGCAAGGGGGCCTAACAGCTGTCAATTGAACAGGCCCAGATGAGAAGCTAGTTGGGTATTGCACCTGACTGCCCTCTCCCCTTATCTGGTCCAGGGGGTGTAAGAGTACTCACACTGTCCTCTCCTGTTAACCCAATGTGTTGGTAGCTACCTTCAGGCCTTTTGCTGGCCTGGCTCCTTCCCTGTTGCACTGGCTGTCCTCCCAAGGAGACGTTGAGGCAGAGGAGATCCTCCTCTCTAGTAACCAACCTGTAGGTAGGCTCCTCTCCCTGGGGCCCCCCCCAGGCTCCTTACTCCAGCCATCCATAATCCATCTTCGACCCAACACTGCACACCTCCCCCTAGGCTCTGCCACATTTGAGGGTTGCCTTGGTCACCATGCCCAGCCTCCTGCCAGGAGAGTAGCTAGAGTCCTTCAAACATGCAGATTTGGGCTTCCTCCTCTTCACCCCTTTTTCAGAAATCTCTCATTTCTGTAAAGGTGGGAGGGCTCCAGAAGCCCCGACGACCCGATAGAGCCTTCCAGCCTGTCCCGAGGTAACCTCACTATCTCACTCCCCAGGCTAACTCATCCTCAGGCTGATACTCAGCCTCTATCTCACAAAAACTACCTAACAAACCTGAAGAGTGTTACATCTGGATACAGAGAGTCCTATGTGTTCTGTCAGTTGGCCAACCCCTAGTGAGTTTGTTATTAGTGGGTAGACCTATCCTTGACAAAACACAAAGGCAATGTTCTCAAAGTGTCCATAGTTAGGCCACCCTCTTTGGGAGGAGTTCTTGTTATCCCTTCCCCTCTGGGAATGCTGGCTCTGTGAGAGGGCTGTTTGCCAGGTTTGAGACCTCAGAGCTGGAGCTCAGTCCTGGAGGGTATCGCCCCTCACTGTGAGCAGGCTGGGAGCCTTATAATGATTATGAGGTTTATCAAATCCTTTGGCTGGATAGAATGGGAGAGTTTTGCTAAAGACAGTGCCAGCCTCATTTTCCCCAGATGTCACAAGCTGGTAACAAACATATCCCAGCACTCAGGGTTCCACCACTGTCTAAAGGGACCAGAAATTATGTACAATGGACTTAGATTTTTGTCCCAGAGCTACACCTATACCTCCTGTTTTGTGTGGGTCGACGTGCACTGGAAGAAGGTCCACGTGTTTTTCCTCTGAAACATGAGCTCCTCCCAACAGCTTCTAGCCAAGGAGCTCTAGGAGCCCCATGTGAGCTTTGGATATTCCAGTTCCTTTCCCTCCTGTCCTACCAAGTAAAAGCAGTGAAGCTACTTCAAATATGGACCTACTTTCCTTCAAAGAGCAATCTGGTTTACGTTCAGCAGCCACTTTATTAGGTATACCTTGCTGGTACGGAGTTGGACCCTCTTTTTCTTCAGAACTGCCTTCATTTTTGTGGCATAGATCCTACAAGGTGTTGGAAACATTCATCAGAGATTTTGGTCCATATTGACATGAGTTACTGTTGCCTTTCTATCATCTGGAACCAGTCTGCCCATTCTCCTCTGACCTCTGACCTCAACAAGGCATTTTCCTCCACACAACTGCCGCTCACTGGATATTTTCTCTTTTTCGGACCATTCTCTGTAAACCCTAGAGATGGTTGTGCAGGAAAAATCCCAGTAGATCAGCAGGTTTTTGAAATACTCAGACCAGTCCCTCTGGCCTCAACAACCATGCCAAGTTCAAAGTCACTTAAATCCCCTTTCTTCCCATTCTAATGCTCGGTTTGAACTTCAGCAAGTCGTCTTCACCACGTCTATATACCTAAATGCATTGAGTTGCTGCCATGTGTGATTGGCTGATTAGCAATCTGTGTTACCAAGCAATTGAACAGGTGGACCTAATAAAGGGGGATGGTGAGTGTAATCTAACATCAGCACCAGGACCAACCTCAGTGGGAGTCCCTCGTGTATCTGCAGGACCACTTTATGTGGAGGCATGTAAGTGTCAAGAACATCAGGACAATAAATGTAAGAATCCTCGCTTAATGGAGGCTCAAATTGTATCTTAGTCATGTGACTTTTTTCCAGATATCATCGTACCAAGTCCTTATCCTGATGGTTTAGCTTTGTGAACAAATGTTCTCTATAGGAACACATGGAAATATGGACATTGGAGGATGGCTCATGGCAGGGCCTCCCAGAAGGTTGCTGTCCCTCATCCATGCTCCTCTATTGAATAAATCGACTTCTTATAGAGAGGTTCACAAGCATTACGCAGTGTAATTTCCTAATATTGATATACACTCACCGCCACTTTATTAGGTCCACCTGTTCAATGACTTGGTAGCACAAATTGCCAATCAGCCAATCACATGGCAGCAACTCAATGCATATAATCATGTAAATGTGGTGAAGACGACTTGCTGAAGATTAACCCGAGCATTAGAATGGGGAAGAAAGGAGACTTAAGTGACTTTTGAACACGGCATGGTGGTTGGCGCCAGACGGGCTGGTCTGAGTATTTCAATAACTGCTGATCTACTGGGATTTTCCTGGACAACCATCTCTAGGGTTTACAGAGAATGGTCCGAAAAAGAGAAAATATCCAGTGAGTGGCAGTTGTGTGGAGGAAAATGCCTTGTTGGGGTCAGAGGAGAATGGGCAGACTGGTTCCAGATGATAAAAAGGCAACAGTAACTCAAATAACCCCTCATACATCCAAGGTATGAACACACAACATGTCCAACCTTGAAGCAGATGGGCTACAGCAGCAGAAGACCACATGTGGTGCCACTCCTGTCAGCTAAGAACAAGAAATGGAGGCTACAATTCGCACAGGATCACCAACATTGGACAATAGAAGATTGGAAAAATGTTGCCTGGTCTGATGAGTCTGGATTTCAGCTGCAAAATTCAGATGGTCGGGTCAGAATTTGACGCCAACAACATGAAAGCATGGATCCATCCTGCCTAGTATCAATGGTTCAGGCTGGTGGTGTCATGGTGTGGTGGATTCATCCTGCCCTTGTATCAGTGGTTCAGGCTGGTGGTGGTGTCATGGTATGGTGGATCCATCCTGCCTAGTATCAATGGTTCAGGCTGGTGGTGGTGGTATCATGGTGTGGTGGATCTATCCTGCCTTGTATCAATGGTTCAGGCTGGTGGTGGTGTCATGGTGTGGAGGATCCATCCTGCCTTGTACCAATGGTTCAGGCTGGTGGTGTCATGGTGTGGTGGATCCATCCTGCCTTGTACCAATGGTTCAGGCTGGTGGTGGGTGGTGGTGTCATGGTGTGGTGGATCCATCCTGCCTTGTATCAATGGTTCAGGCTGGTGGTGTCATGGTGTGGTGGATCCATCCTGCCTTGTATCAATGGTTCAGGCTGGTGGTGTCATGGCGTGGTGGATCCATCCTGCCTTGTATCAATGGTTCAGGCTGGTGGTGTCATGGTGTCGTGGATCCATCCTGCCTTGTATCAATGGTTCAGGCTGGTGGTGTCATTGTGTGGAGGAGATTTTCTTGGCACACTTTGGGCCCCTTGAGTTTAAACACCACGGCCTACCTGAGCCCTGTTGCTGACCATATCCATCCCTTTATGACTCCAGTGCCCCCATCTTCTGATGGCTCCTTCCATGTGACAAAGCTCCAACCATCTCCAACTGGTTTCTGGAACATGACAATGAGGTTACTGTACTCCAATGGCCTCCACAGTCACCAGATCTCCATCCAATAGAGCACCTTTGGGATTTGGTGGAACGGGAGATTCCCATCATGGATGTGCAGCCGACAAATCTGCAGCAACTGCGTGATG